GAAGGATCAGAGTTTGTGATTTTTGTGGATTTGAGTTTATGCCCAGAACTTCGTGAGGAGAAGAATTACGATGTGAGCACAAAATAAACTGATAACCCACAATTAACCGATATTTTTCTACATTCTAAATCGAATTAAAATTTTATTTCTTTCTGCAACGTTACATAGGAATCAAATTTTTTCTATAGACAAACTGAATCAAACTACGTAGTTTTAGTCGGTGTGTAAGGGTTAACGCTTCTCTCTTATGCACATGTTACTCTTCTTCCTGAATCGGAGTTGTGTTTCAGATTCATTAAGTTGCCAGAATTGCATTTGTGGTCGAGTTGAGATAGAAGAGAATGTTGTGAAACTGGTCCTCACATAGGATCACATCGAGATTCCACAATCAGCATGTGGCAGCGTAAGCTTCTTTATCCATCTCTTTCTTTGCATTCGACTTTTGGRTTTACAAGACAATAAATTTTCTTAAGCAACATCTTAGGTATTGTAGGCTTGGAGTTATTTTACGTAGACTTGGATGCGTGTAGACTTGGATACGTGTGTATATCTTTGTAAAATTGCACATTGTACAAGTAACAATGAAGAAGATAATGAGGCACATGGGGTCGATGACTAAGATGAAGAAAAAGAATATCAAGGCTTACGTGTTACAGTTATATGATTTCAAAGAAGTTATGTGAAACCATTACAAAAAACATGACAATAGTATTAGGTTTGTTTGTGTTATAAACAAATCTAGCGTTGTAGCCGTTAGTGTGTTTATGATTTTTAGGATTTTGCCATTCGATTGCTATTTTTTTTTTGTTGAAATTTACATTTATGATTATTTTTTTAACAATGACAAGTTAAATTTTACTAAAGAGTTTAGAATCCAGAGTACATTAGAATAACCTAAAAAGCTTCTATAAGTAATTATTACCAGAATCGTTTTCTGATAATTAACAATTATTAACCCGTGGTTTGAGTTTGTGAAGCTCTAGAGTTTAAAGATTTAACTATTTTATTCGAGGATAAGAGTTTAAAATTGATTCTAATATGCACAAAGAATGTTGATAATAAGAATATTTTGCAAAATCTATAGATTCTTAGATACCAATTGACATTTGAATGTATATTATTAAATTCGATACACTCTCTGTGATAATAGTTTATATATTTACAACATACTTCTCCCATTTCTTTTAAGATA